CGAGGCTTGTTTTCCTTGTTCTCCCATCGTTCTGTCGAGAAGTCGATTCATTTGTTGATCTTTTTGAAGAGCCAGCTTTTGGTTTCCTCCGTTTTTCTGTGTTGTGTCTATCGATTTCTGTTCTGATCCTTATTATTTCCTCCTCGCTACTTGGCGCTTTTTTCCCTCCGTCCCCCACCCCCGCGGTCACCGACTCGAGGTCTCTCTTGTTTCCTGGTCGGGGCATCTACTGATACATTTTGTTCTAAGTGCTTCTTCAGCAGCATCACATAAATTTTTATTTGTTGCTTCATTTTCATTCAGTTCAAAATACTTTATAATCTTACCTCGTTTTGTCTGACTTTATCGTGGTGAGAACACGTGGTGCGTATCATTGCCGACGGCGTCGTGCTGGTTGGGGGCCTTCCAGGGTTCGTTCCTCTTGCTGACGGAATCTTTACGCCTGTCGGTTAGTGGGACAGTTTGGACCTTCCCTGACCTCTTTCCTGTCACTCAGAGATCACCGTCCTTTGTTGCCTGATGTCCGGTGTCTTGCAGACATACATTTTGCCCGTTTTTGTCGCGAACGTCGTCTGTCGTGCCCACGCCGTGGCTGTGTGGGAGACCGCGTCTGGTCCCGCGGCTCTGTCGTGGCTGGAAAGGGAAGCGGCAGCTCAGTGTTAATTTTCTGGCCTTCCTGCAGGCGGACCTCGTTGTATTGCGCTTCACTGTATAAGCTCCACAAATGTTACGTTTTTTACAAATGGAAGGCAAGACCCACCACCGGCACGAAGACGACGACTCACTTTCCCCGAGACTCCGCAGTCTGGAATGGAGCCGCAGTGTCTCCGGAGCCCGCCTGTGCCCTCTGACCTCTCCCCACTCTCAGGTGTGAACACCCGGCTAGTGCGGGCTGTTCATCTCCTGCATCTGAACTTGCCAGAGCCGAAGGGTAACCGAGCTTGTTTTCAGAAGCAGTGGTGACGGCGATGAACTGCTCCCTTTGCCCTAGGTTAGAGTTGTCACCCCGAGGACCAGGAAACCCACTCCCTTTCTCCTCTCTTCCTACCCCCCAGGAGACACCTGCTGTCCCTCTGCCACTCTCGGGAGCTCCCCTCAGGCAGGGCCGCTGGTGGCAGGTGCGTGACTGAGGTTCTGAGAGGTGTTTATCTCGCGAGTGCCCATGTTTTAGGAAGACCCTGTGCCTTGGTTTCTGGCGACAACAAATGAAAGTGTAGTCTGAATGAGCCGCAGGGCTGAGATGGAGCCGGACATTCTAACTCATTTGTTGGAGGCCACAGAGGGGGACAAATGACTGCATTTGAAGACCAAGGGCATTAAGCCACGCCTTCCGTGAACCATGCCGTGAACACAGCTGGTCGTCAACAAGGCTCTTGCTCCTGTTGACCGCAGACGGATCGTGATGCTGTCGAGACACACGAGGCCCCTTTCCCTCTGCTGGTTGCCGGACGCGTCACACGGACGGAGCCCGATGCTGACCCTGGCGCCAGAACTTCCCAGACGCCTGAAGGGGGCGGTTTTGCGGCCTGCAGTGCAGGTGGGAACAGACGTCTGGACAGAGCGCCGGTCACGGTCACGGTCTGTCCTCCCTCCTGACCCAGCTCAGACCCCGCCTCCACCCCATGGCCTTTGTCTTCGTCTCCCGGAGCAGGCACCGCGGGCACCGCGACGTGGTGCCCTTGTCTCCAGTGCGGGAGAGTGCTGTTTGCCGAACGATGGCTGAATTGGGCCACTCGGTTCCCCGTCCGGAGCTCGCTCATGCTTGTTGATGGCCGTGCCGTTGTTTGGGACATTTCAAAAAAATGCCTTGCCCCGGTTTATGCGTTCAAAACGTATTTAGTTGATGCCACCTTTTCCTAACCTTGTGACAGTGACAAGGTGCACAATTCTTTGTTTCTCAGACGCAGCCATGCCCATGTCCCCAGCTGTGCCTCTGCTCTTGGCCTTGACCCCCTTTCCTGGACCTTCGACCCTTCCCAGGTGTAGGATCTTCGTGGGCTGTGACCCCACTTCAGAGGCAGAAGGGGATTTTGTGTCGTGTTAGAGTCGAGTCTTGCAGGTCTCGGGAGGTTCACGGAGGGGCGTCGGCCGGCACTGATAATTTGAGAAAGGCGACGCTGAGCTCTGTAGAGTTCGGACTCCGACTCGAGTGGCTGCAGCTTTGTCAGACTAAAGGGGGCGTCCCTGTTTACCAGCCGCCACCCACGCAGTGAGTGCTGCGCAGAGGGCTCGTGTATCTCCGGTCCCTAAAAGGAGGTAGTTGGATATAATCCTCAGAGGGGGCAGTTCCTCGGACGTTAAACCCTAGGAGACTGACCCACACTGTGATGTAACCCTCTCTGGGTTCCTTTATGCCCCAGGGCTTCCGGCCACCCTGCTGAGCCTCGGTCCAGGCCAGGCCCGGGGGTGACAGCCTGCCATGCCGTGCGCAGGAGCGGGCTGGGGTTCACCCGTCTGCGCCTAGTCCTTACTCCGAAAAGGAGCCCTTAAAAAATATCTGTGAGGCTTATTTCCTGCCACAAATTGTTTCGTTGCATGAAATTAATTTTTGTGAGTTTTTTGTACACGTAGGTCACTCTGGCTCCCAACCCTCCACCATGATCTTCTCATAGATCCTTTTAGTGCAGTCGGGTGTCCTGGCAAACGCCACCAAGTGAAGGGAGATGTTTGGAGCACAGTGGCCTCGCGGTGGCAGCAGACGCCCCGGGTGCCCGCCTCCTCCCCCAGCGGGCCCGCGGGGGCTGTGTCCTGTGGGGAGGGGGCACACGCCGTGAATGGCCACGGGCTCTAAGCCTCCCAGAAACGCCTCTTGGGTCGGCGGGATTTTCGTGTTCCTCCTGCGCCTGAAGCGAGCACAGCGCCCGCGGGCGGGGCCTCCGCTCAGGGTTGACGCCTGCGTGGTAGCCGATGACATGCGACTGCACGTTGACTTGCAGGGTTATTTTTAACCTCCGATGTGTAGTTTCTGGGAGTTTGCGTGGATGAACTGCTCGGCTGAAACAGCTTTGCAGTGTGTTGGGATGCAGACCAGCAGACCAGGGCCCTGAAGGAAATGGGCGGGTGGCCCGCCGTGACCCCGGCACATCCCTCTTGGGAGACCTTCTGTCCAAGCAGGAGTTGAAGGCCTTGTGGCCCTCAGGACCTGTGCCAGCTTGCTGGCCTTGCTCCCAGATGAGTACGCACGACTCTTCCAGCCGCAGAAAATGGCCGGCTGGAGTGATGGGCACGGGCTGGCGGGGAGCGAGCCATTCTGAGTAACGAGCCGGTGGCCGTGGCTTCATTGGTGCCCGCAGAGAGGACCTGAGAGGTCCTGCCCAGCAGCTGCCCCCAGCGCTCAGCCCTGCACTGCTCTGGCCCCTGGGGACCCAGGCCCTGCGCCCACACGTGCCCCAGTCCTGTTGGCCACCTCAGGTGCCCATCCTGCCCCTCCCTGTCTCTGACGTCGACTGCTCTGAACCGAAGTGCAGTCCCGCAGGACTCTTCGGTTTTTATGTGTCTGGCTCATTTCATCTGCACGATGCCCTCCAGGTTCATCCACGTCGTAGCGTATTCCGCTGCTCTGAACCGAAGTGCAGTCCCGCAGGACTCTTTGGTTTTTATGTGTCTGGCTCATTTCACTCCGCACGATGCCCTCCAGGTTCATCCACGTCATAGCATATTCCAGAATCTCCTTCCTGTCTAAGGCTGAATAACACTCCGCTGTGCGGGTGGGCCACGTTTTGCTTACCCGTTCATCTCTCGATGGCGCTCGGGTTGCTCCCATGGCTCAGCTGTTGTGCGCAATGCTGCTGTGAACACGGCGGGCAGATATCTGTCTGACACTCTGCTTTCAATCCTTTGGGGTAAATACCCAGAAGGGGGGTTGCTGGATCAGGTGGTAGTTCTATTTTTAATTTTTTCAGGGACCTGCGCGCTGTTTTCCACAGCGACTGCAGCATGCTGCATCCCCACCAGCAGTGCTGGGGGACCCACTTTCTCCACAGCCTCACTGACGCTCGCCATCGTCTGATTGTTTTTTTAATAGTAGCCACCCTGATGGGTGCGGAGTTGAACCTAAGTGTGGTTTTGATTTCCATTTCCCTAATGACTAATGACATTGAGCATATTTTCGCGTGTTTATCGGCCATCTGTATATCTTCTTTGGAGAGATGTCTATTTGATTCCTTTGCCCCCTTTAAAAATTGGATTTTATTTTTCAGTTATATTCTTTATATATTCTAGATACAAGTCCCTTCTTAGATACGTGATTCGCAAAGATTTTCTCTCAGTCTGTGGGGTGCCCTTTCATTTTGTTGACTGTACTTTGAAACACAGATGTTTTTAAAATTTTCAACTTGAATTTAACTTTTCAACTTTATTGAGATATTGATATATAAAAGTTTAAGGAGTATAGTGTTATGACTTGATACACGTATACGTTACAAAATGATCATGACGATAAGGTTAGTTAACACCTCCATCCCTACACACAATTACTGTTTTTTGTGGTTTTAATATTTAGACCTACTCTCTTAAGAACTTTCAATATGTCTTACAGTGTTTTCAGTTATAGTCACCATGCTGTGCATTACACCCCACGGTATTCATCTCAGCTGGAAGTCTGCACCTTGGACCAGCATCTCCGTATTTCCCACCCCGGTTACAGGCAACCACCATTGTCTTCACTATGTCTATGCGCTCAGCTTTTTTAGGTTCCACACGTTAAGTGAACACATATAGTGTCTGTCTGTCTTTGGACCGATTTCACTCAAGGTTCGTACATGAGGCAGAAGGCGAAGCGCCCTCTGCTCTCGCCGACGCGCCGCCCTCGCGCATGCGCGCGCGGCTCCCGCGCCCGGGCCTGCGCGTCTAGGTCATGCCCCTCTCGCTCTCGCCCTAGACTTTGACCCTCGCCACTTCTGGCACTGGAGCAGCTTCGCGGACTACGTGCAGTGCGTCCTGGCCTTCACGGGCGCAGCGGGCTACATCACGTACCTGTCCATCGACTCGGCCATGTTCGTGGAGACGCTGGGCTTCCTGGCGGTGCTGCTCGAGGCCATGATGGGCGTGCCGCAGCTGTGCCGCAACCACCGCCACCGCTCCACGGAGGGCATGAGGTAGGCGCGCGCGCCCGCCGCCAGGGCGCCCCCGCGGCCAGTGCAAGTCAAACGTGTCGAAGTCTGGCCGCTTCGTTTTCAACGATATTTGTAAAACTGCCAGTTAAAGAGCAGTGCGGGTGTGAACGCATCGGGCCTTTGACCTCTCGATGCCTGAGCCCTGCGTTAGTGTGACACAGGACGGGAGGGTGGCACCCTCGTGAAGCATGTAGCTGTCGTGGGGCTGGGAGCTGGTCCTCCAGAGCTGTTGAGCCAGAAGCGTCAGAGCCGGAGGAAGGCGCTGAGTGTAGAGGGGAGACCGGGAGGCGGGGCGAGCAGGCTCCACCCACAGAGCGCAGTGTGCAGTGTGTTTGTGCAGCGTGTGCGGTGTGCAGAGTGTACAGAGTGTGCAGACTGTGCAGTGTGCATAGTGTGCAGTGTGGGCAGTGTGGGCAGTGTGTTGTGTGGACAGAGTGTGCACAGAGTGCAGTGTGGGCAGTGTGTAGTGCGGGCAGAGTGTGCAGTGTGTGCAGAGTGTGCAGAGTGTGCAGTGTGGGCAGAGTGTGCAGTGTACAGAGTGTGCAGTGTGCAGAGTGTGCATAGTGCATAGTGTGCAGAGTGTGCAGTGTGCAGAGTGCACAGTATGCTGAGTGTGCAGAGTGGGCAGTGTGGGCAGTGTGCAGAGTGTGCAGTGTGGGCAGTGTGTAGTGTGGGCAGAGTGTGCAGAGTGCATAGTGTGCAGTGTGCAGAGTGTACAGTGTGCAGAGTGTATAGTGTGCTGAGTGTGCATAGTGCATAGTGTTCAGAGTGTGCAGAGTGTGCAGTGTGGGCAGTGTGCAGAGTGTATAGTGTGCTTAGTGTGCATAGTGCAGAGTGTGCAGAGTGTGCAGTGTGGGCAGTGTGTAGTGTGGGCAGAGTGTGCAGAGTGTGCAGTGTGCAGAGTGCGCAGTGTGCTGAGTGTGCTGAGTGTGCAGAGTGTGCAGTGTGGGCAGTGTGTAGTGTGGGCAGAGTGTGCAGAGTGTGCAGTGTGCAGAGTGCGCAGTGTGCTGAGTGTGCTGAGTGTGCAGAGTGTGCAGTGTGGGCAGTGTGTAGTGTGGGCAGAGTGTGCAGTGTGCAGAGTGTTTACCGTGGGCAGAGTGTGCCGACTGCGCACAGAGGCAACTGGGCTTCTCGAGGCGGATGGGCTCTCAGGAAACAAGTCTAGCATATGTTTTATTTATTTTTATTTTTAATTAATTTTTAAAAATTAGTTTCAAGTGTATAGTACATAGCATATGTTTTATTAAATTGACACCAACGTATTTCATTGCTTTTGAGCAACTGTAATTGATATTGTAGTTTTAATTTCATGTTCCATATATTCATTGCTGGCATATAGAGATACAGTCCATTGAACTGTATCCACTCAGTTCATTGTTTTGTTGATTTTTCTATATTAAACTTTAATGATATTTGCTCTTTATTTAGATTATTAAGATAAGACTTTTTCTTTTTTCTAAGTAAGCATCTAGTGCTGTAAATACCCGTTAGTGCTGCTTTAGCTGTCTCACAGATTTTGGTGTTTTATTTCCATTTTCATTCGTAACTACGGATGTTTATTTCCTTTGAGACTTACTCTTTGATCTGTATTTAGCAGTGTGTTGTATAATCGTGTATAGAGATATTCTCCACGTGTTTAGAGATTTTTTTTGTTGTTTTTCCATTATTTCTTTCTAATTTGATTGTATTATGTTTAGAGTACACACTCTGTATGATTTCAATTATCTTAAATGTGTCTAAATTTGTCTTATGGCTCAGAATATGGCCCATCTCGGTATGTGTTCTGTGGGTACTTAAAAAGAATGTGTTTTCTGATATTGTCGAGTGGAATGTTCTCTATTTATTAGAGTCTGTGTTGATGATGGTGTTGAGTTTTATATTGCTTCTTTCTTGCCTAGTTCCATCTATTGTTGAGAGAGGAATGTTGAAGACTACAGCTGTGATTGTGGATTTGTCTATTTCTAGTTTTAGTTCTAGTAGCTTTGGGTTCAGATATTTGGCAGCTTTGCCATTCGGTGAATACACATTTAGAATTATTGTGGCTTTTTGTTGATTGGCCCTTTTATCATTATATTATTCCCTCTCCGTCTCTGGTAATTTTTTTTTGCTCCGAAATATGCTTTATCGTCTAATATCAATATAGCTGTTGCTGCTTTCTTTGATTAATATTTGCATAATATATGTTTTTTCATTCTTTTACTTTCAACCTGCCTATACCATTATATTGGAAGTGAGCTTCTTGTAGATAGCATATAGTTGGGTCGTGTTTTTTTTTTAATGCATT